CGTTCGCTTCTTGTTACTACTAGTAAGGCACCTGTTACTAGTAGCGATGCACTTGTTTCTACGTTCGCTTCTTGTTACTACTAGTAAGGCACCTGTTACTAGAAGCGATGCACTTGTTTCTACTAGCGTGGCCTTGTTACTAGTAGCGTTCAACCCGTTCCTGGTTTGATCGAGTTCTGTGAGGTGCCCTTGAGATCTCCAAGGCCGGACTCTCGCGAGATTGTTCATCCTTTTCAAGTCTTGGCTTTCTTTACTTTCAAGGCATATTTGCATCCTTTTCTTTTGGTGGTATTGAAATCTGACTTGATTTTTGTTCTTTGAACTGAACATGTCACGTCAAACGTCTTTGCTTTGGCTTTGCAGGCTTCCCGTGAGCAGATATGGGAGGCACATGCAGAGGCCTCATGACATGCTCTCGGTTGCATGGCTTTTGAGTCGAAGAAGCAATAAGGTCTCTATGAGTAGGCTTAGCCTTTTGGCACGACAAGGCAACAAGACCATCTTTTTTAGGGGGTGGTAGGCCACTAGAGGTAGGTAGTAGCTAGCTAGAGGTAGCTAGTAGAGGCTAGGTAGCTAGTACCTACAAGTAAGCTGCTAGTATGGACGCAGGATAGCGCTCGCACTAATGATTTGGTTCCTAGATTTTAGGGAAACTTAACTAGCTTTTAGCTCTTTCCTTACCGGCTGTTTTAGGAGGCCATCGCTATTAGGTTGGAGGGCAGAGCGGTCCTAAAAAAATTGAAACAACTTCTTCTAAAGCACATTCAACAAGGACGCTACTAGGGGCTCCTGGAACAAGAAGTCTTCTTAGCAAAGGGTCCCAGTCCCAGGACACAGAGATCAGCCAGCGAAATGCCTCCCCCTGGCCCCATGTCAGTGCCAATTCTGGGCTCTGTGTCAGCCACTGGGCAGAGACTTCATTCTAAAGAACAGGACATGAAGGACCGAAGAATAGTTTAAAGTTTAAAGAAAGTCTAAAGGAGGCCATTGCTAGTAGGTCGGAATAAAGTCTAAAGCAAAGAAGAAGCATACTAGTAACAAGAAGCTACTAGGGGCTCCTGACATCGCTACTAGAAACAAGAAGCTACTAGGAACAAAGGGCATCGCTACGAACGGAGCGATCGGAGTGCAAATCTTGTTCGGTCGCCCCGCCGAGGTCTTGTGGGCCCTGATCCGAGGAAAGTCCCTCCTCCAGGTCTTGAGTGATCAACTAGAAACAAGAAGCTACTAGTAACAAGTGCATCGCTTCTAGTAACAGGTGCCTTACTAGTAGTAACAGGAAGCTACCAGTAACAAGTGCCTCGCTACTAGGAGCAAGTGCCTTACTAGTAGTAGACAAGTGCATCGCTACCAGGTCTTGAGTGATCAACGTAAAAAGTTTGGGCACCTTGGTGGCGATCTACCGCGGTTCTTGTTTGCCACTGTAAGAGCCGTGAGGGAGAAGACGTTGAACAAAGAAACATATGAAGATCAGGATTAAATAGGGTTCCTAAGAAGCTACTAGGAACAAAGGGCATTACTACTAGGAGCAAGGACGGGTAGTCATAGCTCCTGGCACTACTACTGGGAACAAGAAGCTGCTAGAAGCTACTAGGTGGAGGCCATCGCTACTAGGAACCAGAAGCTACTAGAATCAGGGGAAAAATTTGTCGCAGGGCGACGGTAGGCCTTGAGCAGAACGAGTTACCGAGGTCTCTATTCCTCTTGAAGTTCGGCCCATCCAAGCAAGTCTGGGTCGGGAACGCTTAGCGGTACCAAGAGAAGAAGAAATACATAGAATGCTGCATGAATGCTCAGCCTAGTAGGCCCATTGCAAGCCTCCCAAAAACATTCGCAGCCTAGATTTACAGATCTACTGCTGAGAGCAAAATGACTTGCCAAAGAAGCTACTAGGAACAAGTGCATCGCTTCTAGTAACAAGTGCCTTACTAATAGTAACAAGGACGCTGGTAGTAACAAGTGCCACGCTACTAGGAGCAAGGACGCTACTCGGGGCTCCTGGCCTTACCAGTAGTAACAAGAAGCTAGTAGAAACAAGTGCCTCGCTAGTAGGAGCAAGGACGCTACTAGGGGCTCCTGGCCTTACTAGTAGTAACAA